TCGCTTTGTCGTGTGTCTGGAGGATGACAGGTGCTGACTGACAGCTGCTCACCTGAACACAATGTCTGTAATTAACACAGATTTTCCCTCATTTTGCAGGTTTACAGACGTTTAGAGTAATCTAATGATTTTTATCTAAAACTCGGCTTCAAATTAATTTTCTCCCAGAGCCTGCAGGACGATAAAAACAATAAAAATAAAATTAAATAAGTCAGATAAAATTAGAAATAAGTCCACCACTCTTCTCCCGGTCCGGTCCTCTCCCCCTCCTGCCTGCTCTGTTATCTGAGGCAGGAGGGGGAGATATCAACCAACTGAAAATATTCAGTTGGTTGATATCTTATGTTAGGTCTCATATCATCTGAAATATTAGTCAATTTAATGTCTTGTTCAGACCTATTTATCCACTATAATGACAAACAAATCAGAGTTTTATTAATTCAGCAAAGTCAAAACATATTCTTGTAGCAGCCTCTCAAAGAATTAAAAACTTCAGTGAGGTTTATATTGTTGTAAACTCCGTGTCTCTGAGCTTTTGAAATGTTTGAGAACAAACAAGATTTAATGAGGCCCTTAYGGCAGTACTGAAATCAATTATTAAAGGCAACTGATGATGAATGCATAATAAAAAATCATTAGTTGTAGCCCAGTTTCAGATCTGACTGTGAACACAGAGTCCAAGGATTTTGCTTACATCTCAAACATTTGAAAGTCTAAAAATTAATAAAACAAGTAAAATAAAACAAAAAAAAAATCTGTGTAGAGTTTGGAAATTTAATGTGATTCCACATGAAATCCAGGGCGTCTGCAGTCCATCCATTCATTAAAAGGGCAAAGAAATTCAAGCTTGTGGCGTTTCAACAAAACCGTTTCACTATTAGATAAAAGAAATTCGTTGTTTGCTGATTAAATAACTAAATCTCATTCTGGTAGACATGCTGCCTTTCTCCTCCTCATCATCTTTGTTTTTCTAATTTCAAGGTCTGGACCTAGTGTTTGCATTTGCTCCGGGTTTTTAAAACAAACCCAATGATGAACCTTTTTATCAGCCCTGGTGATGGCAGGAGGCCAATCTAAAACACCTCAACCAGGATTATTAATGAGAGCTGAGGAGCGAAGAGAAAAAAAAAAAGGGAAAAGAGACTGAAGGGGAGAGTCGTCTGGATTCATACAGTAATAGTGAGTGAGACAAGGTGAAGGGGTGAAATGCAAATAAAACTAAATGGATGAGGAAGGAATAGTGTAGGTCAGGTTGGAGCACACATGGGTTAAAATAMAAGGTGAATCAACAGATGCAGCGTGGAAAAGGGAACAATGAAGCCGCAAGTTCTGAAGAAAACAAATAAAAACAAAGAAATAAAGATAGAAAGCAAGAACCAGACAGACTTGGTGGAAGGTGGCATGTACACTGACCTGTGAGAGATCTGGGATGTCACCCTGATCTATTCCAACTTGCTGTCGTCAAAAAACCAAAAAGAAATGTAGAGAAGGAGGGAAGGTGGGGTCACATGAGGGGAAGACAAAAAAAAAAACAGGGAAGGGTTCATTAAAAGAAAATAAAAGAACACAAATGGGAATCATTACCTCATGCAGTGGCGGTGTCAACATAAATAGAAACAAACAAGCAAATGACATGTGGACTGACTGATGAACCCACAGGGATTGATAGAGATGACTACACTGATAAAAACATGTCCGACGCACGAGGAAGGATGAGAACACTCAAATGACACCAAGATCGATAAGACAAGTAATATTTATATAAAATATCTTAACCTCCTAAAAAAATATTTGATTCTGCACAATTTAAATATAAATGTCTTTGGCTGTCAACGTTAATGTCACAATCAACCATAATGTTGCTAAAAAACAGCTACAGATGAGCATGTGCAAAGTCTGCTCTGACATGTTGCGGTATTAACACTGAGGAAGCTATTGGAAAATTTAACCGGTAAATTTACATTGCTATAAAGACCTGATGCATTTACTCCAAACTGATTTGTGTTAAACTTTCGTTTAAGATCATATTTCTTATTTAGGCTAGAAATCTGATTTGTGAGCTTGTCAAATTTGCACAATTCCACAAGGTACATGGACACTCGAAGCTACAAATTGGTCCATTCTCAGGGAGGTTATGGTTGATAAAATAATTGAAGATGGCACTGAATCTAAACTACATCATTTGTTTTTAATAAAAGGGATTTTCCTTTGAAGACTTTGTTAGTCCTCTCCCGGTCTTGAATCCTGTTAATCACCCATTCATTCAAATCAGGTGTGTTGGAGCAAAGAAACAAAATCGKGGAGGATAGTAGTCCTCAAGGACCAGTGTTGGACACCCCTCATCTAAGGTTTTCATATCTTGCCCAAGGCATTTAATTATTTTATGTAATTTGGCAGCAAATATTCAATTTTCTTTCACATATTGCTTGTAAATGGTGGTCCACTTAAAGGACACTTTATGCTTTTAAATCCTCCTTTTTCACATTTATACCATTCAGTTGGGGTCCATATAAAGTGGAACTGCAAGGCTTTGGTTCCTCCTAATTG